ACTACATCGTCTATAAATCTGAGTCGCGGCGGTCTAACACCTACCCATTATAAAAGTCGCAGTCATAAAAGCTTGCACCCTTGCACCTAACATGTCCGTCATTATTATTTAATGGTCCCATTATTGTAATTGATAAGTAGCCGGGTCCCGTTCGGCAGGAGCTTGCGGTAGCAACAACACGTTTTATTGCGTTGACTGTTGCCGGGGCCGTTGCCGCGGCTTTTCTTATCACCTCCTTAATAAACGAAACTGCTCGACGCCAGTTTGATAAGAAGTCAAATTATCTCGACACTTAAGACCGGCTTCTTCAGGTCGTACTCGATACCTTCGATACATTATACTTGGCTGCTATTACATTTATACTCTCTAGGCTCTTATCACCCGACTAGACTACAGCGAAATTGTACAAAGTGTACCGCACCGAGTATACGAATGATACGTCATTAAAGTAAAAATTTTTTGTAGACTGTAATTTGTGTCGTAATTCTCGAATTTTTTATATTATACTTGTATAGGTCTGAAATATTCAGAGAAATGACCAGCAATTTATAATAGTAATATTGATATGGCTATTATAAAAACACATATCATTATCAAAAAGTGATATGAGGATTAATATTTTTGAAATCTTTATTTAATTATTATCTTTCTTAAGGTATTTTTTTTTTTGTAAATTTTAGAATACTTAGCTAAAGTAAAACTTTTTTTTTTGTAAATTTTAGAATACTTAGCTAAAGTAAAACTTTATTTTCCACGTCGTAAAATTAACGCGACCGTTACGCGCTCACGAAGGAAAGACGAAGCTGCTGCACAGGAAATGTATCGGCGTGCTTCGTGGAGGAAGAGGAGGAACACAACGCCGGCGTCTTTCTCCACTGGAAATATTACCAGAAATTTCACGGACGTTGCTCGCGCGGCTCTGACACGGCGGAGGATAGAAGCGCGGAGACGCGGCTCGGCTCGGCTCGGCGCGATCTCCCGGGTTGCCCTTATGTGCTTGTATATACTAGCGTAATGATGGTTTATGGCCGATGGAGGCGCAGGCCCCGTAGCGGCCGTGTTGGACATGCGGTAAACCGCAGAACGCGGCCGCGGCAAAACCTACTCTATACGGCGGAACGCCGCAGAGACGGGAGAATCGCGAGCCGATGGCTTCCCCGTTCCCTTGCGGGGCGATGCACGTGAGTTAAGCTTAATTACCTCGTCCGGATCGGTCTTCACCCTAAACCTTGTCCCCTATAAGCGGTCGCATGGTCGTAAAATTGCCCGTGCTTTCAAAAACGGATGCGCCATCTCTCAAATTATGGACCTCTTGACGCGCCGTGCACCGAAATTGATACTGTTCTCTCTAAACGATCCTCACCAAAAAATGATGTAAAATGTGATAGTCGATTGTACGGACATTAGGTCTGAGAAAGCCATCAGTTATTTTTTTTTTTTTTTTTTTTTTGTCGAAATTGCTTTAAAAAGTGTTGGTTAAATTTGATAAGAAATATTTGTTTATTTATTATAAATTGTCCGCGACACGAGACAAAATAAAATTATTTGTATTTTATAATCACAAAGAGAGAAGAGAGCGACTTGAATAAAATCCGAAGCTCCGAAGTAATAGACGAACATCCGACGATAATTAAGCGCTCGATAAATGCATCTATTAATTACAAAATCGAAAAAAGTGAGAATAGATTGCACATCATTATCGGAAGTATCGGTCGCTCGGCGCGAGATTAACACGATCGTGAACGGCGATCACGGACGTTTCTGCAATCGGCAATCGGCAATCGGCGGCGGTATCATGACGCGATACGAAGAAACGTACGTACATACGTATGTTACGTTTTGTTCGAGGCGAGGTTCAGGACCTGCGTTCGTTTGATCGAATGCCGCAATGATTGCCTCGACTGATATCTGCTCCCGCATCTCTCCGGCTAATGATTATTAGCCGTAAGTCCTTCTTACTTTTGCCTCCCCCCCCCCCTCCTCTCCTCGTATCCATCATACTCTCTTGTATTCATATACAGGCGCGAGTATGAGATCGCTACGGATCGTATCCTTACGGTACAAGCCGACTACACTGGACCCACGGCACCATCTCTCCGCGATCCCTCACTCCGTCTTTTCTTCGTACGAAGATATCGAGTCATCCAGGTAGGCAGGCAGGCAGGCAGGCGGGCAGATACACCTTGCACGTATCGGGGCCCGATCGAAACTCGGAGGGGATCGTGACTTTCGATTCGTGGTGTAAATCGAGCGATGTAATAAAGTCTGATTGCAAAATGTATCGGCCGTACGGCATTGGGGATACATGTTATACGCTATACATATATATTTGTGCGCCGTCGCGGCGTAATGCACGTTTGTTAAAAGTGCTCTCTTCGCGGTGGGTATACCGTCCGACGGACGGACGGTATACCGTCAAGTGGGTCTCGCACGTTGCAGAGAGACTCATCGCGTCGTCTCTGCGCGCGGCGCAGAATCGAGTCTTGATTTCCGTTTTCACGAACGTCGACGAACCTCATCAGAATCGATTACGAGCGTTCGTACACGATATGTTGCGACGTGTGTTAGGATCATCATATATATAGATGCATTAACGAGCGTTATCGGTCATCAATTATCATTATTTCGACCACGATTTACGACTTCGTCTTGCAGTTTCGTCACGATGTACGACCATGGCACGAATAATTAACGATCGTACGGTCAAGAAGCCGAGCCGAGCCGTCTTTTCGTTTTTTCCCTCTTAATTTTGACGACCATTAAGATCGCGCCGACCAAAATGATTAAAAAAATCGATCAGACGTGTATATCGTATATCAAGAGATTTATGAAATCAATGAAATTGGCGAATGTATTTCCGATATATTGCTGAGAGCGATACGCGTCGTCTTTTCATCACCAACGTCAAGAACGATTACTGTTTAACTTTGAAGAAACACCGCGAATGATATTCGTTACTCCTTTCAAAATAATGATAATTAATAATACATTGTGATTGACATAGTTATGTCAATCGTAAATTATGCTACAAACTTTTATTCGTTATGGGTATTATGGGAACTAGATTATAAATATTCATTGTGCGAGGCACAGTTGGGAGCCAAGAAAAAAATTGTACGAATTACAAGATGGAGAAATTTGAGCTGTATATAAGAAAAATCTTTGAGATTTATATTTTAACATAAACACAAATTTTTTTACATATTGCTACATAAC